CCAATTGTAAATAAAGCAGCAATAAACATGGGGGTGCAGGTATCTTTTTCAATTAGTGTTTTTGTGTCTTTTGGGTAGATACCTAGGAGTGGGATTGCTAGGCCGTAGGGAAACTCCATGTTCAGCAGTTTGAGGAACCTCCAAACAGTTGCCCATAGTGGCTGTACTAGTTTGCATTCCCACCAGCAGTGCAGGAGAGTTCCTTTTTCTCCACATCCTTGCCAACATTTGTTGTTGCTAGTTGTTTGAAGATGTGGGGCACAGATTTTTTTAAGTTGACCTATGTTTTCAATTCCCTTGAAGGTATACTTAGCAGTACAATTGCTCAGTTAAGGAACTGTTTAAAGAACTGCCAAACTTCTTTTCATTTGCTAACCCCACCAGTATGTAATTGTCTTCCACTTTTCTAAGCATCAGTATTCTTGAGTTTGGGGGTAAACAGTGAGCTTATAGTGTCTAATGCACCATATTGTGAGCCTAAGGCAGTATGGCTGTCCATGACTATTTGGGAGCAACTGAATAAAAACCCAAAATATTTTTTCACCTTATGCCTTCTTCTAGCAAAAACTTAGCAAAGTATCCCTTCCATCAAAATGCTTTCTCCCTGTATATTTGCCTTTCATCTCCCCGGACTTTCCTATGCAACTATTCTTACCTGCCAGTGTGTCTTGCAGTGGCTGCTCTGGTAATTAAACCAAAGGGTTGTGCTCTATTTGGGGCAGCTCACCAGCACATTAGACAAGTTAAGGTAAGATAATCTGATAGTAGCATCAAGTGTTCAAGTTATTCCGATAAGCAGGCAGACATTTATTCCCACGTTTTCAAAGTGATCCTTCAGTAAATATAGTCACAGAATTTATTTGGCTCTAGGGCACCCTCTGCTGGCTATGCTGCCAATAGCACTACAATGAATTTAGGGGAGAAAGATGTGACTGACAAAGGGCAAGAAACGCACAGAGGACTCACCCCCATTATAAAAGCAGCTGCAAAGACTAACAGATGAAGAGCAGCTCTTGGTGGGACTTAGCCTCAGATAGCTGGTATTTAAGGAGCTGATGACTTCCATCTCCGGTCATTTGAAGTAGCTGTTGCAGAGTTAAGTACCGATTTAATCTTCAGATACAAAATTAACACATTTTGGAACTTATACTTTAAACATGAGCAGCTCCTCTTGATATGACATGGGTTATGTCTCCAATGAAATATCAGTATACATAAATTTCTTTCAAAATTTCACCAAAATATAAATTTTTTTTCTGCCCCAACGGATGAACATTTTTTGATACTCAGAAAGAGATGATCTTCTTAATGTTTTATCATCATTGTGTACAGCTATAATGTCCATCATCTAAATTTTCTAAGAATAGAACTCAGGTGTAACTGTTCAACAACTTATTAAGTATTATATACATGAGCCATATTAAGGAAAATGCCTCCCCCGCCCAGGATGCAAATGCCTTTATCACCATAACCTGTAAATATGTTTAATTATAGGGTAAAAGGTTATATAAACTTTAAAACAGGAAAATTGTGCTAGATTATCCAGGTAGGCTCATAACACATGAACCCTGAAATGGAGATAGAGAGATCTTTCTCTGGCTAAAGTCCAGAAAGATGCCAAAGAAGAAATCAGGAAGATTTGTAGTCAAAGCTTTGAAGCTTGAGAATATCGTGACCCAATACTGCTGGAGGCGTGACAGAGAAAGCACAAGAAACAATGTGAACATCCTGTAGGAGAAAAAAAATCAGTCCCCAAATGTCAGCCCATCTGGAAATGGGGACTCAGTCCTACGGACACATGGAATTGAATTTGACCAGCAGCAAATTCGTGTTAGGAGCAGATTCATCCTCATAACCTCAAGGACTCAGTTCAGTTGCCACCAGGATTTCAACCCTGTGATACACTCCAATTTCTGACTTAGAGAATTATGACTAAATATTTTTGTATTATTTTAAACCACTATACCATATTTTATATCATCAATAGAAAACTAATACATTACACCAAATGCCAAGATATTCAGTTCCAATATGCTGTGACTCTGAAACACAATAATCACTAGAATAATGAATTAAAATGGCAAATTCTCCAATCAAGTCACAATCCACTACCAAATTATTTTTTTATAATAAATAAAAGGGAGACTTCTATTAACAATTACTGGGTATTTTTTAATGATATCTAAGAATAATATACCAATTTCTAAGTTATTATCTTCTCCAACATTTACAACTTCAGCTTTCATTTTTAAAAAGTAAATAGAAGGCCCTCTCTGGTGGCGCAGTGGGTTAGAGCTCAGCACTGCAAGCTAGCCTAAGCAGCTTCAGTGTGAGTTCCATCCCAGCCCAGGAGGTGACTCACATGGCATGGCAGACATCCCCTGTCCCACCCACTGCTCTCCTCAGCAGTGTACTTCATCAATCTACCTGTTCTGCTCTCCACACTGTCTCTGGAGAGTCCTCCCACCGTCCCTATACCTCTGGCCTATACTCCAGTTCTGTATGTATAAATTAATGAATCTAAAAAAAAATGTGAGTGGAGAGTTCCTTTGTCAAGCCTTTTTCCAACTGTCTTAGTTTGAAAAAGTTCACTTCAGGTAAACATCTCGTTTATAATATGTTTAAAATATCTTATGAAATTTGTATTCTAAATAACATATGTTAATAACATTAACCTAAGATAATGATCATTAATACTGTTGAATGAATCAATGTCTACAAAACTGTGAACACATAAATGTGAATAAAAGATGATGCCACAGATTAAGAGGCCTCAAATGTACCTAGAAGTCAAGTTGCTGTGAATGCTTGGGTGGTGGGGGTTGTGTGATGACATACACTGGGGAGTTGTAACTTATTCCCTTGAGTAATATAAAGTGATGTAAACCAGTGCCACCTCAATGAAGGGAAAAAATAATTCTAAGCTACTTTATTAATTTATGCTTACAGAACTGGGATACAGTTCTGTACTGGGGTACAGGCCAGAGGTGCAGGGGCAGTGAGAGGATTCACCAGAGACAGAGTGGGGAGCAGAGCAGACCCACTGACATAGTATACTGCTGAGGGGAACAGCAGGTGGGTCAGGAAAGGCGATTTGTTGTATATAAATATATAAGTTCAATAAGGACGAATTATTTTCTAATAGAATTTTGTTGGTACTATGGCCGTAATTTGGTGTTTGTTTTTCTTGAATTAGTAGCTCAATGGTGTGTGTGACTTTCTTACATGCACATCACTAATCGGTAGTGATATGTAGAATACACACCCAGGATTTTCCAACTTCTACCAATGTTTCCAAATTACAACCAAAAAACTGGAATTTTTTAGACACTATAGAGTGAACTGATATAGATTTAGAACATGAAAACTTACTTTTTCTGAGTCCTTTCAGCCAGCCTTGCAAGCTCAATAGCTTTCTTCCTTGCTTCAAAATCCTCCCTTTTTATCACCTCTCCAGTGCCCCGGTAGCCGAGCTCCACCAACTGGCGAGCCAGGACTTCATCCTGAAGAAAGACCAGTTGTTAGATTTGTGAATGAATGAAGCACGTGATTTCATCTAGTGTATACAATGAGTCAGGCATTATTCAAAATGAAAACTCAAATTTATTAAAAACAAGAGAAGAGCTATTCAATATGAGAATTAGAATTCCTTGTAACAATACTTTTAGAAATATCTCATTTGTCACCCCTTTCCCACGCATGTGAGAAGAAGGAAAAAAAAGAAATAGCATCCATCACAAAATATCCTCTAACGAATTAGAGGACAAAAGTCTATTGTGTTTTTAATCAATTTATGAGAACAGCTGTGGCTAATTAATAGAGTATCTTTAAAACAATAAGACTAGACAATAGAACTCATACAAGAAAGACTTCTTAAAAACCCATAGCACAAAAAGAGAACTAGGTTGCTTTCAGAGAGCTCAACATTTCAATGACTCAGATGCTTTAAGTCTGGTAACTGATGACATGACATTATAACTTTAAATACAAAACAAAGAGCAGATGAATTTCCTGTTTAACTAGAAAGACACTGTTTCCTTATAATGTTGGTACCAATAAAAACAGCGAGGTAGCCACAAAAAGCTTCAAATTGAAAAAGTTTCCCCACAATTCCAGTCCCTTTATATATTTCAGTTACTTTAAGGACTTATACATTTTGTCACCTGTATAGCATATTTGAGAAAAATATTATTTCCCTATAATTTGAAAAGATGCCACCTTGCATGAAGTTATTACATAAAATATTTATACATTAATAATGATCCTTATGTTTTCATCTAAATATATATATATGTATATATATATTTAGATGAAAACGTAAGGATGTATATATATATATATTTAGATATGTATATATATATTTAGATGAAAACATAAGGATCATTATATATTTATATATATATATTATATATTTTATATATAATATATATATAAAATATATATATATACTATTAACCCTGACTCAATATATCACCATTAAATGCAAAAACTGTCTAAATGATTAAAGAGAAAACTCAAGATGCATGGCTAATAATCTATTCCACCCAGAGTGGTTATTTTAAAGTTCTAACAAATAGAATCAAAAGAATTAGACTATCAACTTACAAAGCACGCTATATCTTTTGCTAAACATTCAAAGCAAATGTGTGCTTTTTATAGTAATGTGGATATAACTGCCAAGCTACTATAATTCAAACTACCAGAGTTGGGAGTTATTTGCCTTCTCTCTGACTTTTTTCCCTGCTTAATAATTTCTCTATCCCTAGCCTCTTTAATGTGAACCACAAAACTAAGCAAATGCCTCCACCTAGTGGAATTAATATTTAACAGAAAAAGCAATACAGATTTTAGGTTTGTTTTATGAGATATTATTTGAGTCTAAATTTTCTAAATCTATTACTAAAAGTGAGCTTAAGAGAAGAACTCTCTGGAAAACTGAAAATTTGAGGTTCTTCTAGAAGAATATAAACATAATATTTTACGTAGTAAAGATTATTCATGTTACAGTACTAATTCTGTGTGTGGAATGAATTGCACATTCCTGTGTTACCTGGGTCAAACAAAATCATTTGAACAATTTCGCACCCATGTATACTCATGCATGTTGAAACAACTGACAATATCCACTGAGAAGACAAGTATGAACTTGGGGACCTGACATTACCATGTTCTAAGTGGATGAAATCAAATGTCACTTCTCCGCTTCTTTTTTTGTTTGTTTGTTTGTTTTTAAGATTTAGGTATTGATGGATACAAAACTGGGGTACAGGCCAGAGGTGCAAGGGCGGTGAAAGGATTCACCTGACACAGAATGGGAAGCAGAACAGGCAGATCAACAAAGTACACTGCTGAGGGGAGCAGCCGGTGGGCCAGGAGAGGTCTGCCACGCCATGTGGTCACCTCCAGGGTGGGGATCCAACTCATGCTGAAGTGGCCTTAGCTCCTCAGTGCTGTGCTTTAACCCACTGTGCCACCAGGGAGTGCTCACTACTTATTTTTTTAATACATATTTTTTTATTAAAGTAATGTTGTTTTACCACACAGTTTATGATTGGGAACCATGGAATTCCCCTCTTTAGGTTTTGTTACACAGCACAACTGGCACTCAAGCAACTACAGTCCACGTGTTCCACCCCACTTTGTCCTTCCCCATCCTCTCCATATTCCCCCTCTGGATGCCTCAGTTCTGTAGTCATTTTTTTAAGAGACAGTTTTGGAATTTGACTATATCTGACCTTTTGGTTTCTTTACACCCCATCTATAAATACCATCACCTGGTACAAGGCTTTCTCCTAATTTATTTCATTCAGCATAATCCCACCCTTGTCACAAAAGGGTCTCTCTCTATAGATAGGTAGATAGATAGATAGATAGATAGATAGATAGATAGATAGATAGATAGATAGATAGATATAAAAATTAGTGTTTTTTTTTAAGATTTATCTATTTATGCATACAGGCCAGAGGAGCAGGGGCAGTGAGAAGCTTCACCAGAGACAGGGGGAGCAGAACAGGCAGATTGATGAAGTACCCTGCTGAGGGGAGCAGTAGGTGAGGCAGGAGAGGTCTGCTGTTGCAAGTAGGTCAGCTCCCTGCCAGGGATTGAATTCATGCTGAAGCGGCTGTGCTGAAGGTGTTGCTTTTTAACCTGTTGGGCCACAGGAAAGGCCCAAAAGGGTTTACCTTTTGACAGCTGAATAGTATTTGTCTTCTTGATCCACTCAGGACTCCCAGGTTGTTTCCACAGTATATTTTCTATTTGAATTAGTGTTTTCAAGTTCTTTGTGTATGTACCTAGGAGTGGAACTGCTGGGTCACATGGCAGATATATTTTTAATCTTTTGAGAAACCTCTTTACTGTTCTCCATCAGGTTTCAACTTCTACTTTTCGAAGTGGAGAGTGTTATAGTTTTGTATTTTAAATTTTTAGGCTTGGTCCTCCCTGGTGGTGCAGCAGGTTAAAGCACCGCTAAAGTCACTTCAGCATGAGTTCGATCCCTGCCCGTCCGGATCCCTGCCACATGGCGCAGCAGACCTCTCCTGACCCGCCCGCTGCTCCCCTCAGCAGTTACTTCATCAGTCAGCCTGTTCTGCTCCCCGCTCTGTCTCTGGTTAATCCTCTCACTGCCCTTGCACCTCTGGCTTGCACCCTAGGTCTGTATGCATAAATAAATAAATCTATAAAAATATTTTTTAGGCTTTTCCAGCTTTCTTAGGCCCAGAGCACTGATCTTACCAGAGTCAGGAGTAGGTGTCTGAAGGAGTCTACTGGCACTGGAAGTGGAAGCTGGCTAGTTTTGAGCCGAGCTAAGATCCCTCCTTTCCGTAGTGCCACATCTGAGAATCTTAAGTTGACTTCCTGTCAGGGAGCCTCACAAGTTCGGTTCCAGTCCTGAGGGTGGGAGAGTAGGGGTGCACAACAGCACCCTGCCCTTCTTCTTTGCATTGGGAACCTAGCTTGTGGTGAGATCCCTAGTTCCTAGGCACATATTTTCCATCTCACAAGGCTACTGTCCTCCACACTGTTTAAGTCTCCCCTCCCCTGCTAGCCAAGCTGGCCGGTGTATCCAGCATTTCTCTCCTTTCCACCTCCTGGTCAATGAAGCATAGATCTCCTCCATTTTGGTTCAGTCTGTGCTGGCCCCTGATGTCCAAGAGGTATTCCAGTTTCACCCTCAATCATAGAATTCTCCGAGTGTGTTAGCTGATTAACTTAGATGATCTTCTTGAGACTGAAGTAACAAATTTCTTTTGATATCATCTTGGCCTCTATTAATGTGTTTTGTTGTTCAGAAATGGTTACTGTTGTAGCTCAATCTTAGATTTCTTTACTAAATTCATTGATTTTTTCCAAGAAGGTTCCACTTAATTGATATTGCATTTTCATGGTAGATAAGCATGTTGTTTATAAACAATATTCTTACCCTTTCCAAAATTTATGAATTTTTTCATCGTATCATTGTTTAAACCAGATGACAAAAATGTGAGTAACAGCATTCTTATCATATCTCTGATTCCAAGACTAAACTTGTTACAGAGCAACCCAGTGTGAACTGGGTTGCCTGTCAGTGGTGCGCTTAAAATTCAGTTGTATTGCAGGCACACACACAAAATGGTCAATAATGGGTTTATTTACAAAGGGAAAGTAAAAGGAACAACCCAGGGAAAGAGAGAGAAAGAAAGTTCTGCTGACCTGGAACTCCAATAGCACCCCGAAAGCTCATCAAGAGCCAAGCAGCCAGCCACAAAGCTACAAGGACAAGGGAGAGAGTAGAGCGAGCCCAACATGGCTCCCTCACATATGTCCCTATAAGTGGTTGCTTAGCTGTGCCCTTGGGTCCTCGCAGTTCTCCCCTTGGTATTGCTGGGAGTTGTAGTTTCAGTGATTGGAGTAGGGGGTGGAGTTGTAGTTTCAATAACTGGAGTAGGGGATGAAGTCCACAAAACTGCTGAGTTCCTTCAGGACATCCTTTCCCCCTAACAAACTTTCAATCATGCTTAACCACTGAATAAAACAGTTTAAATAGTCCAGGAAAACCTGTTTATTTGGTGTCCAGTACTAGAGCCTGCAACACTGACAGGCAACCCAGTTCACCTCTGTATGTGTTTACTACATACTCTACTCAAGTTATGAGTTCACAATTTTACCCTATACTTTTTTTTTTTGCACATATAAAGATATTCTTTTTCTTTTTTAATTTGTTAATGTCATGAGTTCACCCTTGCACTTCTATGGTGAATCACACTGCTATTACTTGGATCTCTCATTTCTAAAGATAGGTTCAGATTCATTTTACATTTCTATTCATCCAATTCATAAGAAAAGTAAATCTATCTTCAGCTTTGTACTTTGTGTTACCCTTTTCTAAATTAATGTTAGGATTGCGTGTCCTATAAAATGGCTTAAGAAAATTCATCTTTTTCTTTTATTATTTTTAACTATACAAGTTAGATATGAGGATAGTCTTCTTATGTACAATTAAAAATGGCAGCTGAAGTGAAT